AGAAAAACCTGTTTGACTGTCTCCTAGGAGATTCTTCCTCCACAGGGAAGCACCCTCAAGTGATGTAAGGTCCCTTGTAGCTGCCCTCAGCTGTCCTTCCTATGCTCTGTCTCCTGCAGAGAGAATGGTACTGGTGTTCTTTGAAGGGTCCTGTGGGTTTACAAGCAAACAAGTGCACTTGAAAGCAGCTCCTGAACTACTCTACTCTGTGAGCCTCCCCCTGCGAAGATGATCCCATCTTTGATTCCAGCCTTTGATTTGTCCTGTGTTGTGTGGGCAGATGAGAAAGTCTGCCCTTAATTGCTGCTCAGCGTGAAAGATCATTTAGAATTCATGCACAGACAAGATCAGGAGTTTGAAAATCAAACTCACTTGTTTTGTGGACAGTCTGTGATCAAGGCAGATCCCACTGCAGGAGAAGCTGTGTGTGTGAGCTCACACAAGATCTGCCAGCACAAAAGACCAGTACTTGATGTCCTCACTTTGGAGATGGCTTAGCCCTGCCGCTCAACCTGTGCAGATGCAACATCATTCTTACTACTACCTAAATGAAATACAGAATTATTTTCAGTCTGCTAAGAAATGGCTTTAGACTTCCCAGTGGATTTTCAGCCTATATTCTGTGCAGCACTGAGCACGGTGTCAAATCCCCTCCTGGGTGACACAGTGAGAGTGCAGGGTAGGGAATTCAGTGCTGAATCAATTCACAGGAGGGCAGGAGGGCTTTAGGGCTGCACACTCTCTGACTGAATGACAGATGGAAGGTTAAATACACAAAGATTTATATCCCTTCATTTTTGCTGAATCAAGGTAAATAAAAAAATGGAAGGGAAATGAGGGAGTGGCCTCATTCCTGTGGGTGGGTCCTTCCAATTTGAGATACCCTGTGATTTTATGTTAGTTATTGACCTGCATTGATAAGTTCTCTGGCTTTAATCTAGCTCTAAGATACTAAACCCAAACTAAGTTAGGCTTTGATAGGCACCACCAGAGATAGTTCAGTTCTTCAGCATCTCCTGGGGTGCCAAACTGTCTCCATTGTCTACAGACATCCTAGGAAAACTCCTCCAGTTTAAGTACCTCAGGGAAGCACCTGACATTAGCCTGGATTAATCTGATTGTGCCTTATAGTGGAACAACCAGAGCTACAAGCTTTGAAAAGCATACTGGATTGTCATTAGACTGAACACTTAACACAATTATAGTAAAGGAATTGGGGTTTCTTTGAGTGCATCTTGATTCCTGACCTCAAAGATCAAAAAAAGTGACCTACTTTCACAGTCTGGCTGCTCTGTGTCACTGGAAAGCAGATTTCTTTTAAAAGGGGATACATATGGACAGACAAATCTGCCATTGCTTTTGAAAACTGAGGTAATCTTTAGCTTGCTTTTGCTCAAACTGAAAGCATTGCCTTAGCAGCCAGGAGGACTGGATATTATTAGTAACCTATTACAGGAAACGTGGTGTGTCATGGGTTAGGCATATATTTTTCTGGAAAATGCAGTGTGTAGTGAAATGGGGAGAATAAGTAAACATGAAGTGCTTATTCAGCAGTTCACTCTGTTTGAATGCCCAGCAATGCAACTCTGAGGTTACCTGCTCATAAAGGAAGGAGGGAATGATATTTGAGATTTATTTTTGGCTAAAAGCATGAAGTGCAAATAGCTCTTTGTGCAAAATGTCAGCTGTGCTTCTGGTAAGTAAACAACATTGCTTTTATAGTCCATGTAAGGGTGTTACCACCTATTATATATACCTGCAGGTGTATCTACATAAACTTATCTAGCTGTAGTTTGATGTCTGAAATAAATACAGAAAAGTAAAACAAGGCATTTCAAACAAGCTTTTCTGTGAACAGCAAAATTAATGAAGTACAGGATGAAATTCAGCTTCAGCTAACAAAATCTCTGTGCCTACGTGGAGGTATTCCTGTATGGAGAAGGCATCTGAGCTACTACTAATCTGCAGAGACCTAGGGCTTGACTCAGTTTTGTCTAGGACCACTGGGGACACTCTAAGGTATCCATCCTGGCCTCCAGCTGGACGCAGATCTCCCATAACAGTGTGTCCTGTTGGTCAGCTCCCTCAGGATGACTTGGGCATGGCAGGGGCAGTTGGCAAATCCATGTAGCCCTGGCCCAGTCACCGGTGTTTGGTCAGTCTCCACTGTCTGCTCAATGAATTTCTACTGATTGAAATGGGGCTTAGATGTCTCGTTAGACTCTCAAGATTTAGTTTCTGAGGCTGGAGGCAGCTGCCATCCTTGATGAGTGATTTGGTTGCCTGCTGCAACATCTCATCGTGTCCTGGTTGGGTGGTAGATGGAGCTTAAGAAGAACACAGGCATCCTGTAGGTCTGGTGCAGGTGTCCCAGGTAACCTCAAACATCAGCAGACACCTCTGCTAAGGTAACTGAGTTGCACCTATGAAGTCCAGAAGATTTTTATTCTGTTGCCTTCTTTCAGCTCTTTCCTATGTCCATAGGTTGTCACCAAGAAGGAGACACATTGTGTGGTTTGTTCCAAGCTCTTTCTGCGCTGATGTCTCTTCTCTGCACACATCTTATTTTGAGGACACCTTTAGCAATGTGATTGTCTCTGAGACCTCATCCTTCTACCAAACTTGGTTGAAAATGGCTAGAGGGGTTCTATCAGGGACTCCTTCCCTGATGGGCTCCCACCTGCTTGGCTGTATATCCAATACTCTGGTTTTCAACTACCTCTCACATCACTTGCGATGCGTCCGAGTGGGGTATGAAATGAAAGATCGATTCACACCAGACCACTGCAGTGATTAGGAGGCCCACACAAGCTGTCACTGACACTCCAGTATGATGGACCAGCTAAGGAACAATTAGCTTTAACCTCACCTAACTTCAGAGCAGGGCAGTGCTCAGCACAGTGATGGTTTACTCAGTGGTTCATAATGGACGTGGGCAACTGCTGTGCTACCAACTGCTTTTGTTTGTAATCACGGTGATTGCAAAGGGTACCTCACAATATTGACAGGGCACTTCAAATGCAGTGTCATCAGAGTGATTAAGACCAGGTTTTCAGAGTTCCATCTCACATATTCTGAATATTTGAAATAAGAGAGAACAGGTGGGGGGAGAATAGCAATAGATTGTGGTGTTTTGGTAAGGTCCAGTTAAATAGAAGTACTTTTTATATTGTTTATTTTGGCCTAGCGGGATTTATCCGTTTAAAATACTATCAGAAAGAGAGAAGTCAGGTAGCATTAAGAGATCATAGATAAAATATCTTCACAAAGTCAATTTTATTGCTATAAATGTCAGAAGTGCTGCAGCACTGATCTCTCCTTCGTTGTACCACAGAGCTGGCAACCACCCCCCTTGTACAGGCATCAGAGTTGATACCAGGCAATTTGATCCCAGTTTATTTGGGTTAAATATATTTTAGCTGATATTGGTTTGAGTCACTTTTGTTCCATTCTTGTCATCCCAGGCATCTACCTCCAGTGTGAACTTCTTGTCTTTGTGAATCCAGCACAAAAGCTGCAATTCATTCCTTCTCAGACCACAAGCAGGTGTAACCTCCAGTATACAGCAACTGGTGATCAGCCTGTGAGAGATGTTACTGGGAACAGCCTTCTAGAAAAAGATGGTTTTATTTATTGGATATAATTTTATTTATGTGGGGTGGGGGGGTGTAAAAAGAGATTTAAATCATCAAATATGTCACTCAGATGTGTAGTTGTGTCTAATCTTGCCATGCACTACCAGCAAAGGTAGGCAGTTCTAAGTTGCAAGAACAGGAGGAATCTAAGTCTCCAGTTCAGTTTGGATCTTCTCATACACCTGTGAAAATCTTCACATAGTTTTTTCATGACTAGTAACAGCATTTTCAGGACCAAACCTGCTTTGGGAGTGAGCCCTGCTCATATTTAGATACAGTAGTCTGATTGTGATGGCTTGTTTTAGCCTGGAGGGAAAAGTTTTTGAAGCTGCTTGACCTCTTAGGTGTTTATTCACAGTCACAATACATTTTCTTCGTGGCCCAGAGGATATTTAAAACAAGAATGTCTGTGAAAATGCATACAAATGTTAGAAATGTTTCCAACTGTACTATTTGGTTTAAGTGCCATGCCTATGTATATAATTATCATAAAATCATAGAATAGTTTGGGTTGGAAGGGACCTTTAAAGGTCAGCTAGTCCAACCCTCTGCGGTGAATAGGGACATTTTTAACTAGATCAGGTTGCTCTGAGCCCAGTCCAACCTGACCTTGAATATTTCCAGGGATGGAGCATCCACCACCTCTCTGGGAAACCTGTGCCAGTGCCTCACCATCCTCATCTTAAGAATTTTCTTCCTTATATCTAGCAAGAGACTACCCTCTTTTAGTTTAAGGCCATTTCCCTTGTCCTACTGCAACAATCCTATTAAAAAGTTTGTCCCCATCTCTCTTGTAGAGCCCCCTTTAAGCACTGAAAAGCTGCAGTGATGTTCTCACAGACCCACTTTTTGAACATATCCAGGTCACTATGTATCATCTACTATGAAACATAAATAACAATATTCACGCTGAATAAAAAACAAAAAGGCCCTGAAAACATTCTTCCTATAGTCTTTTTCTACATGCAAACAGTACCTTTACAGATGTCAATTAATGCTGTAATTAGTGATTTTCTCCAAGATGGAATATGGGTAATGACAGGGAATTCATTGTACCACCACCACTGAGAATGTTTACAACATGTAGCTTCCAATGAAAATTTTATTTGGTATTCTGTTTCTGAGCTTAATATTTTATTTTCCATATTTTGGGGTGTTAGGGGTTGGGAAAGGGGATGTCTGAGTGTGTCCATGGTGTATTTCTGCACATGAAATCAATGTATTTTCCTACTGAAACCACCTGTATTTGAGGGAGTCCCACAGTGGTGTTATGTTGTCACAGACGAGACAAAACTCAGACCCTCCTGCCTCCAAGACCTCCACATTGAAGGTTCACCCGTTTCCTTTCAACTTTATTAATTTCAGGTGCTCAACCTGTTCCTTGCCTTGCTGCTAAGCTCCTTCAGCGCTGACAACCTCTCGGCACCAGACGAGGACGGGGAGCTGAACAACCTGCAGCTCGCTTTTGCTCGGATCAACAGGGGCCTCCAGTACGCCAAAAAAGCCATGTGGAATTTTTGCTGCCACGTCCTCCGGCACCCCAAGACAACAGCTGAAAAGAAGGCAATGATGAAGCTCGCTGCCCAGAACCCAGGTGCCCTTAACAACTGTGTGAACAGCCACACCACCGCTGAGCTCGGCAAGGACATGGAGAATCACAAGGAGAATCACGCTGAGGATGGGATGAATAAAAATGGAGAGAAACACCTAGGAATTACAGAAAATGATGATTTTATGACCAATCCTGACCTGTCCATTTGTGTTCCTATTGCTGTGGGAGAGTCAGATATCGAGGAGGAAGATGAGGAGCAAAGCACCTTTACGGAAATGGAGCAGGTAGGCAGCGAAAATGTTTGCTATTTGCAGTTTATTAAGATGGCCTTTGTTCCCACCCTTGGTCTGGATCCCTGGCTAGTGATGCAAATGTCCTATGGCCTAATCCTGCCTTTGATATGTTGTTAACTTCAGAAGAAGTTACAGATGCATATCCTAGAGCAAAATTCAGTTTCCAAACAGAGTCATTATCTTTCTTTTTTTTTTTTTTTTGCTTGTCTAAATTAATTCTTCTAACCAGAGCAATTAAACCCTTTCTCACACAGGAGAATGTTTTTTTCCCTTTCAGCTGAATCATGGGAATGCTGCAGAACAAATCTTAGGTTAACAGGGGATTTTTCTCAGTGTGCAAAAATGGGCAATGTCATAGTTTGTTTTGTGCAACAAGAATAGAGGGCCAGGTAGTTCTCTTAAAAATACAATGAGACAGAAGCTGATATGACAAGGCACCAGAGAAAGAGAGAAGATATGTTATCATTTGTATTCAGACAGGAAAAGCACTTATTTGCCCGTTCTTTCGTGTGACATGGCAGATTTTCATTTTTTCCAGAGCACTCAGTCGTAAAGGCGGAAAAATTCTGTGTGGTTTGAAGTGTTGTGTAAAACGAAGAAAAAAAATCTTCAGGGGAATGCTTTTCTTTCTCTGCTTCTCCCCCTCTCCCCTTTCTACCAACTTTATCTCTTGGTTCCACACACCATATCTAGTTAATGTTTTCCAGACCCTCCAGCCTTGATCCAGCATCTTCTGACGCTGCCCGAGACCAACAGAGTTCAGCAGGCACTGGATCAAAGCTCCTGTTTCAGATCCAGCTGTCAGGAGGGATCCTCGATCTCTTGGTTGAGGGGAAGAAAGTTTTGAAGCAAAATAGTTCTTAGAGAAGGCCTAAAAAATCTCTAAGGAAGGACTCTGTGTCAAGAGTTGGGCGCAAATCAGTTGCTAAAATTTAATTTCTGCTGCTCTGTTGTGGAAACCTCTTCAGTGTCAGTGAATCTGCTCCCCAACAAGTCTTTCACATTGATCCTCCCACTAGGGAGAGGAAGAGCAAGAGGTCAGAAAACTTTATCATCAACCTCCACTGTCCAAATAGACACCTAGGTAACAAAAAGAGAAGACTTAAATTTTTGGTAAACACTTTTAGGGACATTTTTATCTCTTTTTTTTTTTTTCTTTTTTAAGGAATATTTTTATTGAAGTGACCTGGGGATTAATGTGGGTGGTATGGATAATATCTGTTTTTTCTTTGAAATCCTTCTCTATTCCCAGGTTGTATTACTTAAACCTAGAAGCAGAGAACATTTGGAAAGAGAATTATGAATACAGTAGATGGGGGAGAGAACTGGAAAAAGGAAGTAAAATTCATGAGTTGAGATAAAGACACTGGAAATTTTGCACTTGAGTGTCCATGAAGTCTGGTAGCCTGTGCCTGTACATGCACAAATGTGTATGTTGCATCACTGTATTCCTCCTTTCTCAAGATAAATAGTAAGATTTACAATTACAAGATTAAATTGCAGCATAGGGCATGGAATGTTAGGGATCTATATGTCGTACTGTACTTTAAAACTATAGAAATGCAGACTTCTGTTTAGGTGCACAGTGTGTCACTGTAGGTGCTGGTGTGTGTATTAGTAGATGGAACAGGTAGCTGTCATTTTATGCTGTACAGCAAGTAAATTTGGAATTAGAGCTTTAGTGAGATCTGTTATAGTCATGAGGGAGAGAGCTCCTGTAGAAAAATAAGCGTTTTATTGAAACAGAACATTATGAATAAAAGTTGACTTGAAAATATTAAGAAAACTTCTAATAGTTTCAATAATATTGAAACATCATCATATGTAATATAAACATTGAGGATTCAGAGTGAAACAAAATAGGGGGAAAAAAAACCCAGCAGGAGAAGCAAACCAAAATACTGTTTTCCCACTGTACCTTTTAATGAAATTTTCGATAAATGTTAGAGGAGCATTGCCACATTACCACAAGATATTTGAATTGCAGTGAAGTAATGTGGTTCACTGCTAGCATGTGCATTAAACAGAAGGCATGGAGCTGCGAAATGAATTAATTAGCTTTGTCACTAGTGTTTTCCAGGCTTGGACAAACAGCTGCTTCAGGTCACTGCTGTTCCCTTGTGCGTAGCCTTGATCAATGGTTTGCAACCTTTATCTTCAGGTCTGAGGGGTCTAGTGCTAAAAAGGTCCAAACAAGAGGCAAGTTCACATATCCAGCAAAAAATTTTAACAAATTCCTGGAGGGGAAAATGTGTGCTCACAAGGGCGTTCCGACTAAAAGGCTCGAAATACATTGGCATAATAAATAAACAAAAATAGGAAGAAACTTAACAGCAAAAATGATAATTGTGTGATGAGCTTTTCATTTGCTTTCCTCTAAAACCCTAATAAAGTTGCACAGCTGTAAATGTCTCCAAACAGAGCAGAGCCATGAGAAAGCAGATACCGACAAATTCAAAGATCTGTCATCTTTAATAAAGCCCATTCCAAAGATAAATGATCTCTGGACTCACAGAAAAATTCCCTTGATCAACATGGAGGTTCCTGCAGAAGATATTATTGCATCTGGAGGTTGGTATGAAATCCCAATTCCCTGGATATAGAGTTGTGGGCATTACAGTGTATTGACTGTACAAGGGCATTACAAGGGCATCCCTGTGGGACTCTGGGGAATAAACTTCCCCACTCAATCCCAGAAGCTTTAATCCTGCAAGCCCCAACTCCATGGATGTCCTTTCTTCCTCCCGTCCAGGATGGTCATGATAACCAAATCAGAGCTTGCAAAGGAAGAAAACATGAACAAGAGCAAAATTTACATGATTGCACCGAGAGGGCACAATTACAGTGAAGTGTCATTTAGTGGGGAGGGCATCACACAGAAACCAAACAAGAACTACCAAGGGTATGCTAAACATTCAAATCTATTCTAACTTTCCCCTAATCATAATCCATATTTTTACATATTTAAATATTTTAGGATGTACAAAGAGAATGTGTATGTATATTTACTTCTCAAGAGAAGACAATGTACCCCGCTTCCCTTTAAAGTTGCTGGCTGACCTGGAATTGAGCAGCCCTCTGGTGACATTGTCAGAACCTCTCTTCCCTCCTCCTGCATGTAGGTTTTGGTGCAACAGCATGGAAGAGGAGGTGACAGGAGATGCATAAAAAGGGAACATGTGTTTGTATGCCTCTCAAATGCACAGCTAGTAAACCTACAAAAGTCTTACACGTCCTTTGCACATCCCCTGTTAGTTGAAGATTCCAGACCACATTTAGTTCATCATGTGCCCCCATCAGTCTGACTTGTCTGTCATGACAGAGAGGCTAAAGGGAGGTTGGTCTCAGGCAGAACCACAAAGTTATTGATCTCGATGGGGTGTTGTAGGGTGATGATCAGCTCAGCTTACAACTCCTGTACCAATGCTGGGCTCTTCCCAGAAAGTCACAAAACTACTCTAAAGTAAGCCATTGTGGCTGTGACAAATGGGTCCCAGAGCATTCCACGCAGTGGTTTGAAATTTCAGATGATGAGAAAACCTTTTGTGACTGCACATTTTCCTCTGAGTAATAGAAATGTCTAAGTTTAAATTTCAGCTGCCATTTCTATTATCAAAGCTCGCGCTGGCAGCAGCCGTCTTCCTGAAAGCTACCAATTTGTGGCACTGTCATTGAGAGGGTTCTGAGGGAGAGAGCCCACCTGATAGCTTCTAAATCTCCTTTGATTACTGAGATGCAAGTGAGATACTCTGCCAACTTGGAGAGCCAGGGGAACCATGCCTGTAGCCCACACATACAGGGAAAGGATCCAAAAGAAAAGCTGAACAATGAAAGTCAGCACAGGTGCAAGAAGCAAGGAGTGAGGCTGAGAAAGAACCACCTTGAGCTAAATTAATTTGTCACTATTGTGTGATATGTGTGTTGCTGCTGGTCACTGCATAATTTTAGTTTGTATCTTTATTTAACCCTCTCTCCTTCATAGTGCTGGGAAATCTCTCCCTTTCAGATGACAAGATTTCTTGAGGATTTAATGATTTTAACTTCATAATGAGAACAAGAATAACTGTCTTTCATTATTATCCTTACCTTTGAGATGTATAATTTAAATAGGGGCTGTCCTATCAAGAAAACTGTTCCAAAAAGCTCAGCAGCAACCACAATAATGTGCTGGTTGCTTCTTCTCAAGATTCTTTTGGGTTCTCATTTTGGCTACCTAGATGATTAAAAGATGGAAATCATAGTCTTGAACCTCCATAGGGTGTCTTGTAATTGCTTTATGGCTATCTTTTCATATGTGAAATCACCTTTCAGTCTCCCGAAGGAGTAAGAACAGATCATTGGGCCAGTCACCTGGTGGGTCAATTAAGTGTACACAGTCCATTCCAACTAAAGCAGTGGATTCAACCAGAACTTACTTGTAATTTAGCTACATTGCAGGTTTCAGACATCAGAGAGACTTGTACCATTTGCATTAGATATCTAAGTCCAAAGCTTCTATCTTCCAAATTTCTACTTTAGTAATTGCTTTCCCTTCAAGTGGCCCACAGCTGTAGCCCAGAACAGTGTGTGCCTTTTTCACAGTGACATTACTTTGTGCTTCAGAGAACTCCTGGGATTAATGGACTGAAAGGAGGTTCTAGATGAGTAGTGCTGGGTGTCCTAAATTAGACCCTGAAGTACAACATCCTGCACTTGCACTGTTAACTCTTCCTTGTTCCTATTACCCCAGCCCTCACTGATGTCCAGGTCTTTTTGCACGCCATCTGCATCCTTGTCTGCATCCGTGAGTTCCTACAGGCAGGAAAAGTTAGTAGCATAACACCTAAGGAAATGGTTCTACCCTTTCCCCCTTTCCTTGCTCTTTCCGTCAGTCGAACAGGGTTGTTACGTTTTTCTCGCCTTCCCTGAATTTAGTTACTACACATATTGCCTTCTCAAACCACTGCCCTCAACTCCACCTGTTTGTAGTCACTCAGCATGACACTGAGAAG